GTGACCATACTCATCTATCAGATGGGACCTGCTGCCTCTGTTATGTAATGTATGGAAAGCACGTGGGCACAGTGCCTGGCACTTGGGTTTGTTTGTTTTTTAATTATTCAAAAATATTTCTTGACCCCAGCCCAGTAAGGGACAGGGCACAAGCTCCAAAATGGCACTGAAAAATAGGATCTGATGAGCAGTAGTTGACTTTTCACCCAAAGAGCAGAGAAGCTGAAGCCAAGTGGCCCCCTGTCCCTAGTCCATCTGCCTGCCAGGCTGTCAACTGGGTGAACTCACCCTTCTGTCCTGCCCACAACCCATTTTCCAGTTAGCAAAGTGGAAGACCGGTTCTCCCTTCTGCAAGCACCACTCGAAAAGAACCCAAGAGTCCTTGCTTGCCTCCGAGGCCCAATTCATTTGCCATTTCCCCAGGGAACTGGAGGGTGAAGACCGGCGCTCGTGGCGCTTTGAACGCTCCCCAGTCGCTGACTCCCACCTCCCCTTAGGGACAGGGACGGACCCAGAGGTCTGCATTCCTGGCTTCCGCTTCACCCCTCCGGGCCGGCCTCAAGGGGATGGGCAGGATGGAACTGGAATCTAAGTCCCCAGGGGCCCAGAAGTCTTCTGGGAGTGAGCAAGCATAGGACAGCTTGGTGGCTCCCGCCAGCGATCCACTCTGTCCCGGGGGAGCGGCCTGCCGCCCCTTCGCCCCGAGCTGGGGCTGCTCTTTGGAGACGCTCCCTGGGCCGTTTCTAGGCTCCCCTAGATTCCTCGCCCAGTCCCTCGAATCCTAGCCTGGGAGTCCGCAGCCAGCAGCGGCCGGTGACCCTTTCCCGTGTTGAGCCGCGAGGCAGGCGCTGGCTTAAAGGCAACCCTCAAATTCTCAGGGACCCTTCAGGGCGGGTGGCGCTACTCCGCGCTCAGGTGGAGGCGCTTGTTTATGAAAAGAATTTCCTTTCTTAAAAGGGCGACGATGTTAGTGGGGCCCGCGTGGAGGCAAGCGCTACAGCTGCTTTCACTCAGGGCAAGGGAGATAGCGGGTCGTCTATGGGGGAAGGCTGTACTTAGCCCAGGAGCCTATGCCTGCTAGGAATGGGGCCGTGTGAACAAGGGTGGAGACCAGAAGCCTTGGGGGGAGTTCGTAGATCTTGGGGGAGGGGGTGGACAGTGAAAAGACCCCCCTTAGGGCAGGCTGATCTGAGATCAGTTAAACCTAGGACTCTGAACGGAGGGGCAAGGGAGATGGGGAGGGGACAGGAAGGCCAGTTAAGGGTCAGGCAATGGATTGCTCGGCCTCCCCGCAGTCCGCGCCCCCGCCTCCCCACCAGAGGTTCCTCTGGGCCCATCCCGATGCTCCGCACAGCCCCTCCGGCGGAGGGAGCCTTGGCACCTTGAGACCCAGCCAGGGCCCCCTGCGCCTCCCCAGGGACTGCTTCATACCGGCCCCACTTGGCAGTTAGGGAAGTTAACCTTTGTCCAGAGTAGCCTCTGGAGCCGGGGTCCTTGGCTTCCGGACTCACAGCCCCATGGCTTTGCTCCATTCTAAGGGCGTAAAGTGACCCCTAGCTGCTGGGGAAATGGTGACCCCCGGGTGTGGACCCCAGAAAAATTCAGTTTGGAAATGCAAAGAGTTGACCCTCCCCACCCTAAAGTACTCCTCTGCCTGCTCACACCAGCTCAGCGGGTCTTCCCAAGACCCCACCTAATGCCCTGATTGCGGTGACCCTGGGGCTTCACCTCTAATCACCCCCACTCCAGCTCTATTACTCCAGGGCCCCAAACCCTGCACCAGCCAAGGGTTTGAAGGTGACCACAAGGATGTGCTAGGCGCGCGCGCGTCTGTGTGTGTGTGTGTGTATATAGAGTTTCAGGTGGCCTTTTGCAGGGCGGGTAGGGGACAGCGGCCCACCCGGTTCAGTGATTCAGTGACCCTCACGGGGATGGACGCTTCACTGAGGGAGGAGCGGAGGCCTAGGAGAGGCCAGGGCCTCGCTCTGCCGGCCATCGACACCCATTTCCTTTTGGAGGTCAAGGAGGCAGAGGGGGAGGGTCATCCCGAGATAAAGCTGGGGCCCCGCCTCTCTAAGGGCATCCCGCTTAGAGGGTCCTGGGCCAGCCACTCCCTGGAACTCTCCTGTTTCCTAGTCTGTGAAGTGGGACAAGAGGGGGTCGTCCGAGGAGTCCCTGAGATGGTGTGGAGAAGGCGAAGCCCAACCATGGGCAGCAGAGAGGTGAAGCGCGGCCCGGCGCCCAGCGGGCGCAGAAATGCCGGAGGCGGACAGTCGTTGGGCGCAGGCTCTGGCTCCCCCGCCGGCCAGGCGGACGTGCGCCGCGCTCGCTCCGGCGCGGACAGGACGGGACAGGACGGGACAGGACGCGGCCGCCCCGCCCACCCCGGCGGGCGGGGAAGGAAGTGCCGGGGCGTGTTTGTCCAGGCTCGGCGTCAGGCTTATTTTTTAAAACGTGAAAACACTGAATAGTAATGATGACAAAAACACGCAAAAATCACCCGCCACACCCACGGCACCTAGCGAGGGCGTGTGCCACGTGGACAGTCGCAGGCCGGGCTGTGTCCCCCACATACCCGACAGGATCGGGTTTTCTCAACTCCTCAGTCGGGCAGTTGACACCAGAGGCGCCCACGGTCGGGCCAGGGGCCAGAACTCCCGCT